GCTTCCACTTTACCTTGGACCACTTCATTCCACCACCAGTCTCCTTTGTGCCCACCAGAGACGCCCGTCGAGACCCCTAACACCTCTCTCGCAGCCTCCCTAATACAGTCTGTTGTCGTTGACCACATAGTGCTCGCGTCACCACTGCTCCTCCAAGCTCCCATAGCCGACAACCGCCCCTCCAACGCTTGGGCTTTATCCTTAGTTAAGGCTCCCCACCTGATTCTCGGTCTTCCTCGAGTAGACCTTTTCCTCCTCTTTAACATAATACCAACGTCCATCACCAAGAGCCTATGCTGCGGATGTGCAGACTTACATGAATAAATAAATGTGCCAGTGTTTTAAATTGTGGCATTTGAGAAATGAAAGTTAAATCATATTTGAGGTTCTTGTCATCATTTGCATCCCCTGTTGATTCTTATTAATGCTTATTTGACACGGCTAATCAATAAAAGAGTACCTGAAAACAGCTCTTGTATCTATGCTCCAATATTATAGATGGAAAAACAAAACGTTTGTATATCCACAGGCATGGAAAGCAATTGAAACTCATTAAGTCAATTCCAAGCAGTAAGATTTCTAAAACTATAAAACAAAAAGACAAGACAAAAAGAACCTAAACTGATCCAAAAAATATTACTATGGTCTAATGACAGTAGTTCCATAGCATGTGCATATCTGCTTCCGAGCTTGTAATTTTGGTTAGTTAAGGTATAGTTATTTTTTGATATTTTTTTGCATGGTAATGATTACACATTGAACTCAGATCTTATTAAAAGTTGAACAACTTATAACCTGTGCAGTCACCTAATACGGACACTGAATCATATGAGCGAAAGAGAAAACGTGAAGCTGTTGTATATGATTTTCTTAAGCATGAAGCATTACCACAAAGACTCCATATACTATAAAAAGAATGGTTTATAGTGCAAGTTTTAGCAAACCAGCTCTAAGCTCAGACCAGAAGTTTTTCAGATAATTGAAGGTAGAGTTCAGCATGTTTTGGCTTAACAAGGAAATCAAAGTGAAATGTTGTTGTTCCCAGTAGCTAGTGAGCTTTACAACGTGAATAATACTTTGAATAAGTTTGCTAGCAACTAGAAAGCAAGGGTCCTGGTACTCAACAAGGGATTGCTTAGACGCTTTAGCTTCCACCACATTCCAGTAAATGATAACACTTATTAATGTGGTTAAACCAAACAGTAGGACAAGGTTTTCAAGGCTGGACGACAGACCTGTTTGCGCTTTTGATTGCCTGAGCTTCATCCAGTACCATGTATTGCCATTTGACGCGTCTGAAGTATTTCTCATCAGAGACTAGCAGTTGATAACTGGTAATGAGAATATGGAATCCAGCATCCCTGAAATCAAAGTTTGGTTCCATCACTAAACTTACAAGGGACGAATTACAATATCTTTTTATTGAGAAGGAAATGAAATACAAAATTCAGTGCATGGATAAATAACCAAGAAGAGGAACAAAATGCTAAAAACCTCAATGAGTTCCAATGCATAAGAAATGCTTTTTATAAATTAAGATATAATTATTAACTTCATTACCAACTGCATTGAGTAATTCAATACCCAGATAAGCTTGGTTCACCAAAAATTCCATTGGATTTTCACAAAATCAGGATCTCAAGCCTCCACGTGTTGAGCAGTTGCTCATTATTTGGACTAACTTCGATTAAAAATTTTAATTAACTCGGATTTAACTTCTTGACATTTATTTGATACCCTCCACCTCCCCACCCTCACCAAACCTTCCCAACCTTTCTTTGCTATACTTGTCATATTGCTAAATTCCTAGGTGCCCAAGCTAAAAACCATCATCTAACCTATGATTGACTTTGATACTTCAAGCAGATCAGTTTTATGAAGCAATATTTGCCTCATCAATATTCATAGGGAAAAGGTCTAAAATTGCCCCTCTACTGTACTATATTGTTTACTTCTGCCACCCGTTATACTATTTGTCCATTCTAGCCCCTACCGTTAGTGAACTTAAAATATTTGCCCCTAACCCTAACAGATCTACACCGCGGCAGCTGACACGGATCTACACCGCGGCAGCTGACATGTAAGCTGCCAAGTCAGCATATCCCCCTTATTAACCCACCCTAGATCCATAATAGTTGCTCATACTACAATAAATGCGGAATAATTTTTTCTTGACTATCTCTCTATTTTTCTATACCAGTGACCGTCGTCAATGACCACCGTAAACCCCACCGGCAAACTACAAATGCTAAAGGATAACACCAACGACCACTCTTCATTGTTGATTATCATTCTTTCCTTTTCATTTTTTTTCTAGTTATAGCCAGATCCGAAAATGGCCGTGCCGGAAAAGTCCAACTCCGGCAACTGTATATGCTCCTTCATGCCTCTCTTTTCTTTTCACCACATTTTGGAACTTTCATGAACGAACCAAATTCTTTCTCAATCCCCTGATTCTCAAACTCTCAGTAAATTTCTTCAATCTCATGAAACCTCAAGTTATCCAAGACCCCATTTGTAAAACCTCAAATCACATAACTTTAGCTGGCCCGATTAGCAAGAAATCGAAGTTAGAACAACTGAAAAATTGCTTTATAATAACACAATTGAGAGTGATGCAACGGATCATATTTTGAGTTCTATTTGGACTGATTTGTGGCTTGAGAATGGTTAAATTGAGCTTGGGGGATTGAATTTTATCCTGACAATTGGAGTTAACAATTGGTGGTGGCGCGGAACACTACTCCTATTCTTCAAAACTTGATTCCGCCAATTGGGACATTCAAAGTTGTTAGATACTTTGATAAGAGGGGGCTGCAACACTTGACAAATCTTTTGGCGTTGGTCATTCTGGCCAAAAGAGGGCGATTTCACCGAAAAATCAGTGGTGGTAATATGTACATTTCTGTGAGATGTGTTTTTGTATAGAGGTACATGTTTCTTGGTATAGAGATGAAGATATATAATTCAAATTTTGCAAAGATCTAGTGGTTTGGAGTTAAGAGAGAGCGAAAGAAGATTGAGAGTATTTTAATAGAAGGAGAAGAAGATGAGAACATTTCAGATGAGAAAATTTAATAGAGGGAGAAGAAGATGAGAACGATCTTTTGGAGGTTTTGGAGTGTGTGGGTCTGTGAGTTAAGAGAGGGAGAAGAAGATCAGAATTTTTTAATTAAAAAAAGGGTGGGTTAATTAGTGGAACCTGCTTACTTGGCTGCTGATATGGACAAAATATTAGAGGAGTCAGATGCCACGGTGGAGGGACGTTAGGGCAAAGGGCAATTGTGCAAATTTTGTTAACGGTAGGGGTGGATCTGGACGAAAAGTATAACGGGGGACAAACATAAACTATATACCATAGTATAGGGGCAAATTCGGACCTTTTCCCATATTCATAATCAAAATAAAAGTGCCTTACCAAGAATGAATTTCAATGAACAAGAAAAGAACAGCAAATTCAGCTCAAGGATTATAGATCAATCAGCCTAATTGGAAGTGTTGATAAAATAGCTGCAAAGTTACTGGCTGAAAGATAGAAAAAAGTGATTGGGAAACTTATTTCTGGACATCAAAATGCCTTCATCAAAGACAGACAAATCACAGATGCAGCCTTAATTGCCGACGAAGTTCTTGAATGGAAACGGAAGAGAGGGGAATCAGGCATCCTATGTAAGTTGAACATAGAGAAGGCCTTTGATCAACTCGTAAGTTGAACATAGAGAAGGCCTTTGATCAACTCAACTGGCAATTCCTCATCACAATGCTAAAGAAGATGGGATTTGGTGATAGATGGATCAAATGGATAAAATTTTGTATTAGTACTGTGAAATACTCAGTCTTGGTCAACTCCAGCCCAGTTGGGTTTATTTCCCCACAGAAAGGTATGAGGCAAGGAGACCCCCTCTCCCCCTTTCTCTTTATTTTGGCTATGGAAGGGTTGAGCATAATGCTTGAAAAAGCAAGGGACCTGCAATAGATAAAAGATACTGACGTAGGCACTGGTCAAGGGAATGCTATTACAATCTCACACCTGATTTTATGCAGATGATACCCTCATTTTTTGTGGAGCAGAAGAGCCACGTGCTACTCTTAAATCTGGAAGGATGTGGTGGCTGCAAAGCATGGTGTGCAGAGCCATTGGTGCACCAAAACCTGTAGAGCTCCACATGGTGTAGGCTAATGGAAGAACATAACCAAATGGTGGGATGAATTTTACCAGAACTGCAGTTCCTGGTTAGTGACAAATATAAAATTTTGGAAAGACAAGTGGCTGGGGAATTCAGCTTTGCAAACTGATTATCCTGATCTCCAGTAATCCAGACTCCACCATCTCACAAAATAGAGCAGACAATGCACGGAACCCACAACTCAGAAGGAACCTACAGGAATGGGAGCTTGAAGAACTCTGCAACTTACTTGAAAGATGGGGGAAATGCACAGCCAATGAGCAGATTTCAGACAGACTAAGATGGGGTGATAAAGCAGATTGTCTATACCCTGTTAAAGCAGGATATTCAACTCTTTGTGCCCAGAATGAGATGGTGGATAATTGGTCATGGAAAATAATCTGGAAAACGAAATTACCCCCTAAAGTGATTTGTTTCAGCTGGATAGCACTCTACGAAGCATGTTTGATTAACATAATCTCCGGAGGAGGAACATACACATTGTCTACAGATGCTATATGTGCCATCAGAACATAGAAACCAACAGTCATTTCCCATTACATGATATCTGGAACATGTTCTTTTCAGCTTTTGGACTCAGTTGCCTGAGAGGATTAAGGATGCCTTCATATGCTGGAGTTCATGGAAAGTTGGTAGGTCCATCAGGAAGATCTGGAAAATGATTCCTGCCTGTATTTTTTGGTGTATCTGGACGAAAAGGAATCGAAGATATTTTGATGGAATATCAACTCCTAATCACACTCTCAAGGCTAATTGTCTTTTATTTCTATATAGCTGGAGTAATCTCTTTCCTATAAACTCCACTGATAAGTTTTTGGACTTTGTTAGCTCCTTATCTTTAGTATAGGGCACATTGTAATGGAGCTAACAAACTCACTTTTGAATTTACTATCGTTTGTACTACTTGCATCTACTTGATGCCATTAATGATATCACTTCATCTAAAAACAGAATAGCAAATTCAAGATCAATGAGGGAGACAAGAAAGAAGCAAAAGTGTAGGCAATTCCACTACTCTTGTCTTATGTATAGTAATAACCAAAGCCAAATGAAATTACCGCCGATATAGACGTTTTGGGTTAATATTCTTCCGAAGTACCATTCGCTCTTGTAACCCTCCCCAATATGGAAGAGTTTTCAGATCAGGGCAGAAACGACCAATTTCATCAGCCCAGTTGTTCAAGACTGATGCCGGAGCAACAACTAAAAAGGGACCCCATATATTCTTGTCCTGTAGAGATCAATGAAGCCAAGTTACTGGACTTCTCTGCCAGAAAGATTTTTGTTTTGATAATTTAGTACAAGACAGTTCATAAATAAAACATCAGCAACGAGATCGCTTACTTCTGCCAAATGAGCCAAGAAGGCCATGGCCTGGATTGTTTTGCCAAGACCCATCTCATCAGCAAGAATACCATTTAAACCCTGACAGATAAAGTTGAATGTTATAAGCCAGCCAAACAAAATCTCCATAGAGGTTGAGCAAAAAGATCAACATTCAGGAAAATGACAACCTACCTGCTCGTAACAATTTACAAGCCACTGGAGGCCTTTCAACTGATACTCTTTAAGAGTACCCTTGAATATTTCTGGCGTCTGTACTGTTGATGCCACAGGCATGGTTGACCTAAAGGTACACCGAAACACAGCGAGTCAGTACCGTCAGAGAGTGGAGCAACAAAATTGGTGCCACTACAATCTCTCAGCAAAAGAACAAAGACGATATCTCAGAGGAGCTCAAAAACTCACGGATGCAATAAGTCTATGTTAGCGGCTGCGGCATCTTGCTGGGAGGGTTCAATTTCAGCAGCTTGCCGCAGCTTCAGACATTCACTATCAAATGCACTTGTCATCATTTTCTGCTTTGAAACTGCATCCTGTGCAGCTTTCAAAGCCTCTTTTCTCAGCTCAGCCTCTTCAGGATCCTCTTCCTCTCCAGGTCTAGCTTCACCGGAACTTAACAACATTTCTTGGTCATTTGTCATTTCATCACCTAAAGTCACAGCCTCAGAGGATAAAGTTGATTTATTTTGCATGAAATGGCTGTAAAGTTCAGTTTGAGATAGCAGAAAGTTGAGCCTCTGTTGTTGTCTCTTTGCTTCACGAAGCTCCTGTTCGCGCTTCAAAGCTTCTGCAGCTTCTTTTTCCTCCCTTTTCCTTACTTCTGCCTGCAACATTAAAAATTTTACATCTTAGGAAGCCCTCTAGTCAAACAGTCAACAGCAGAAACTCGTGAAGAAGTATGTTCTTTTAGCATATTCAATCTTCTGGAGGAAACACAACGAAGGACATGCATCTTTATGAGTCCGTAATCCTTATAAATGTACATTTCCTTTTCTAATAAGTGTATCAATACTCCATTGCAAGCTTTAGTAGGTAAACCAACAAATAACCCAAAAAAATATTGGCTGAAAAGAAACTCTTACGGCAACAATATCATCAATCTAACATGCCGTTATGATATAAAATAGGGACAGAACTAGGGAGCCAGAATAGGTGAATATATCTTTGTCAGCTTTCATTATCTTCTTCAGGATAGTACAGGCTAAGATGAACATACAATGTGGTAATAGTCTTAAAACCATCAAAACAGAGAGTTGCATCTTGGCTAATTAAGGATGCAGTTAACCATACTTGAAAAAAGAATGCAGTTAACCATGGCTGACTTTCCCCCCTCCCTCCTCTCCGGCTGCTCAGGTTGCTCTCGAATAGCAACTTCTTATACATACCATAATAGCAAAAAGTTCACTATGAAATAATGTCAAAAAGGTAGAATTTAAGTACCATCTCCTTATCAACTCTCTTCCAAAACACGAGCATGTCCCTAGCAAGTTTCCTTGTACGAATTACAGCACCTCTCATCACCTTAAGTGATCTGCTAACTTTCATTTTTACCTGAAAAAGGGAACCCACCACTCAAGTAAGAACGTCCAAAAGACAACTAGCATGGAAATTTGCAGAATCGCACACAAATTTGTTCTAACAAGATCAAGGCCGTGCTTACCTCTCTCTGACAAGTTTCTGAAAACCTCTTGGCATCAGTCAATTGCTTCCTGTGGAAATTGATGAATGTCTTATGATGTTTTGGGATTTCTTTTCTGACAAGGTTTATCCAATATTTTCCAATCTTATCCATCTCTTCCTTCTCAATCACAGAAGGATCTTTCTTCAGTTTTGGCTTTTTGGGTAGACTACGTTCAATAATCTGCAGCTCCAAATGACCACTCATATGTAAGCAACATGACTGATGCCCATATAGCTATGAGATAAACATAAACTGAACTGCAATGCTAAGGAGAATTACTGACCTCATAGGTGTCTCCTTTCTCTAACACTTTCACATAATAAACCTGTAAGATACCACCCTCTGACAATATAGAACGCCGTATACCTCCTGCAGCCCCCTCAGGGATAGAAGATGCCTCTAATGCAGCTTCGCTGACTTGCAGACTGAATTTCTGACCGGCACTATTAGCAGGCTGGGCTCGCAGTCGTGCCTGAAGAGATTCAAATTGGGGCTTGGGATCACTCATTCCTGCTTGACGTTTGGGCCCAAGTCTCTTATCAGAAGCCATCATTGCAGCCAAAGTCTCCAAATCAAGTGTACCCTTGAGGTAAATTTCATTAACTTGAATATCTGACATGGTTGGCAAATTCAATAATGTTGCCAGCTTTTCATAGGGTGGAGGGATCCTGTATGTGATGTCCTCCCCGAGATCCAAGAAAGCAGGTTCATAAATAGATCTGCAAAAATTCCAAACATTAGGTGACACACTTTACCTTTTGGGGGCTTAAAGTACAAAACAACTTGGGTAAACATCTTTACATTCATTTCAAATGATTAAGTGAAAGCAGAGAGACAAACCTATCACCAGCATATGGTCCTGGAAAATCAGACTGAATATGGTTCCCTAACTTCTGAGTGCTATTGTTAAAACAATCTGATGCAGAGTCAAGTCTGTGTGCTCCTCCTCTATGATCATTTGTTGATTTCTGGTCTCTTGATCCTCCACCACTTCTCATCGCAGGCATCCCATTACGAGTAGCTGCAGGGCTTGCTGAGGAATTACCAAGCCTCCTCTTATACTTTTGAATGTGTTCTCCCAGCATTGCTCTATACCTTTCCTCTGAAATATGGGTACTATAACCTCTGTCCCCATCCCCGTCTTCGTCACTACTATATGAAGTCCGCCTCTTTTTCTTCAACTCCCTACCAGACATTGTACCATTACTCCGGTTCCCGTGTGCTCCACCTATCAACCAACATAAGATGCGGCTGATTATTACAACACTGCATTAGCTTAACTTTTCATTGCCTAAAAGTCAAATTTGCATTGTAATAGGATAAAGAATGTGCATTTGCTAACTCAAGGATTTTCTTTCTTTTGGACCAATATTACAATGATTTTTAGTGAAAAGAATGTGTTATCAGTCACAAATTTAGTCCTAATCGGTCATACTTTTTTTTATAAGTACACAAATTTTAGTCCTAATTGGTCATGCCCATCGACCCATATAATAAAGAATTCAATTTAAAAAGAAAAAAAAACAATGTCAAGAAAGAATGTCTACCTGGGCTACCTCTGCTCTCATCCTGACTACTATTCCCATGATGATCAAAATCATCATCCAGTTGGGGCAGCTGGAAGTTAATCAAAGACTATCCCAAAAAAAAAAGTTAAAGGGAGTAAAATAAGATCCACAATTCAACTAACTTAAGAAGTTCCGCACACCCAATTGAAATTCCAAGAAAAAACCAGCTCAAATAAATCAAAAATCTCTAGAAACAAGCAAATATAAATAGACGTTCTCGAAGAATACACCAACAGAAATCCCCCCACAAAATGTCCCAACAGTAATACTACAACAACAACCCAGTACTAATTACCAGGATTTTATTAAGCAAGACACCATTTTGAGAACCCAACTGAAATTCCAAGAGAAACCCAGTTCATATTAAATTAAAAATCACAACAAACAAGCAAAAAACTAAACTTTCATGAAGAATTAACCATCAAATCCTTAATTTGTAACAAAACAATGGTAACACTAAGTACCAAGATTTTCACATCAGAAGACACCCTTTTCAGAATAGAACAACGTATTAAATAAAAAATCACTACAAACATGCAAAAAAAAAAATAAAAAAAAAATATTCAAGACTTAACCGTTCCCTAATTTGTTACAAAATTATCCTAACACTAACTAGCAAGATTTTAATATCACAAGACACCATTTTGAAAATAGAACAAAACCTCGTATAAATCATAAATCACTACAAACATGCAAAAGAGAAAACTAAACCTTACCAAAATTATCCCAACACAAACTACCAAGACTTTAATATCACAAGACACCTTTTTGAGAATATAGCAAAGCCCATAAAAGATACCTCAAAAGCGCTACAAACTAGCCAAAAATATAAACTTTCTAGAAGTTTTAACACTCAAATCCCTAATTTGTAAAAAAAAGTTATCCTAACACTAACAATTAAGATTTTTATATCACAAGACACCCTTTTGAGAGTAGAGCAAAACCCACAAAGGATACCTCAAAAAGCACTACAAACAAGCAAAACAATAAACTTTCATGAGAAATAACCATCAAATCCCTAATTTTACAACAAAATTATCCCAACACTAACTATCAAGATTTTAACATCACAAGAAACCCTTTTAAGAGTAGAGCAAAACCCACAAAAGATACCTCAAGACACCATTGGTAACAAAACTGTCCTAGCAGCAACACTAATTACCAGGATTTTAGCAAGACACCATTTTGAGCATAGAACAAAACCCATATAAATTCACAAGCTCCACACACCCAAATGAAATTCCAACAAAAAACCAGTTCATATTAAATCAGAAACCACTCCAAACATGCAAAAAACTAAATTTTAGTGAAATATTAACAATCAAATCCCTAGTTTTGTTACAAAATTATCCTAAAACTAACTACCAAGATTTTAACATCACAAGACACCCTTTTAAGAGTAGAGCAAAACCCAAAAGAGACCTACAAACATGCAACAAAACAAAATTTCTAGCAAATTTAACCATCAAATCCCTAATTTGTAACAAAATTATGCTAACATTAACTATGAAGATTTTAATATCACAAGACACCCTTTTGAGAACAGAACAAAACCCACTTCATATTATATCAAAAAAAGAATCACTATAAAAAGGCAAAAACATAACTTTCTCGAAGAATTAACCATCAAATCCCCAATTTACCACAAAATTATCCTAACACAAACTACCGAGATTTTAGTATCACAAGACACCCTTCTGAGAGTAGAGCAAAACCCATAAAAGGTACCTCAAGATTGAAGAGATTGGAGTAGGAATATCGCCTCTTTGGGTCCATGAATTATGTTGTTTGAGCTGAAAAAACAACAGTGGGGACAAGCATTTGGTGTACAATAAATAAAAATAGCGGAAAAAGGAAAATTTGAAGAGAGGAATTTGTAATTGTAATAATAATAGTTAAAGAGAATAAGAGAAGAGAGAACCCTAACCCTAAAGGAGAAAAAGAGGGATAAGGAGAAAGGTGATGGGTGTAACGAGAAAGAAGAGAGAAGAGGAGGTGATGGTATATACTAACGTGCGCCATCGAGGGTTAACTTTGGTTAACGTGCGCTATAGTGACCTCTCTTTTAATTTTCAAGCTCTTTCTTTCTCTGTCTCAGTGTTTGTTGTGATGGAGGGAAGGAGCTTTTCTTTTCTGATAATTAAATCATTAATAATATTAAGCTAATAATGATTTTTTTTCTTTTTAATCATTAATAATAATAAGCTAATAATATTAATCAGAGGTCTCGGTGTTAAGTTTAAGAACCATTAAATAGGGAAGCATCCTATAAAGATTTTTTCAATTTATAAAGCTCGAGTTTAAACCCCGAGACCTCTGATTAAAAACGAAGAAATCTTATACACCACAACCTGTGAAGGTGTTCAGTTTTCACTCTTCATTTTTCACCTTTCGGCATCGCTTTAGGCTCTAACTAATATGAGTTCGACCTGCCTAAGGACAATTAAATTAAATAAGAAAGTGCCCTATAAGGATTTTTTAATTTATAAGGGTCGAGCTTAAACCCGAGACGTCTGATTAAGGGGTAAAGAAATCTTATATATCCTATTACAAACCGTTGATGGTAAACATAGATTCATTAACCATAAGAGTTACATGCCCCAAATGACATCATTTGAAGAAGAAAAAAAAGAGATTTTATTACACAAATTATTAAACATTAGGTTGTCAAATTAACTAAAGGTGTAAAAGTTCTAGCTCTTTATAGTTTATATATGGTCCAATGATGGAGGTATCTAACCATGGAGATATTGTACCTTCATTATCATAGAATTTTAAATTTTACTAGTAAAACCTTAGTAAAAAGCATGAGAAATCTGTCAAATAATGGAGATATGTTTCTGTTTCGTATATAGTATGTCTCATATGAGTGTGTTTAATGTTAAATAGCGGTTATTTATAAAATATTAAAAATACTTTCATTTATTAAAATTTTAATCAAAAAACACTTTAGTGTAAGTTTAAACACAAGATTTTCAAAAGCAAATTAGTGCATACAATTAAAGAATTATTTCATGCGACAACTTATATAGTATATCAAACAAATGTGTATATTTTAAGTTTGAAGTTAGCTTGATAAATCAAGCAATAGAAACTTCGACATTAAGTACCATTTTGTTTAAACAATATATATATATATATATATATATATATATATATTAATAGAAATTGCTATAAAATTAAAGTAACGACATGTAATAGGGAAAAGGTATAAAAAGTGCTACATTATCAATCAAAGCAAATATGTTAAAGCAAAATTTACCAAACAAATCAAAAAAGAGATAACTGTAGATAAATGAGCTATTTCTACATTTTATTTTATTTAAACTTTAGAAGAGAACTAGTTTTATTCAAAAATGTTCAAGACCCCATCATAGCATAGAAGAGATATATAACTAAAGATAAATGAGTTAAACAATCAACCTGTAGTAGCTTGCTAAATATGGAAATTGGAAGCTAAAGCTATTTTTTCTTTCATGGATTTAACTTATACATGCACTAACCATGTAAAGGTTTCGTACAGACTGGTGCATATAACATAAACTCTTCTTTTTTTCCTCTTACTTTTTGGGGGATGGATCTCGAGTATCTCCACTTAAATATCAGGCTTTTGTCCGTAGCAAGGTTCAAATCTCCGACATGCGACTAACTCATACATCACTTAACACTAGGCTAAAACACTGTGAAACAGTACAATACCAGATACTTGATATATAGCAGCAAAGACATATAGCCCCTCTTTGCATCATAAAAGAAGGGGCACTCCTACACTGCCATTACAACAATTTTGCATAGCATTCAATCTAACTAGGCTGGAAATCAGGAGATAGTATACTTTAAATGTTCAAAAGGGATGACATTTCTAGCAATACAAAATTCACGGGGCACATTGGCATTCAAACTCCTGGAGTCCCCACGTGTACGTCAACGATTTATCACTCCTTCCACATATCTGCAAATTCATCCACCTCCAGCGGATTAGACAACTGATGCATTTTTCTCCTGGTCTTCGCTTTGACTTTCTTTGCATATTTGCCAGCCTTCTGTTTTTTCTCTAGTGATCGGATCTGGAGCAACGTGAAGAGATAAAAACATTAGTAACTGTACTAAAGAAGTCAGTTCTCCACAATACAAAACGAACAAATCAACCATGTGCTCTTTGCTCATAACATACACAGCAGCTGGGCGAGCAAGAGAACGAGGAGCAAGGGATGAATCTTACCTGATTTGGTGCAACGTAAAATGGGTTCTCATAAAGCGTAGGGCCACCAAAGCTACCAGCAAATATTTTAATCGGGTTCAAGCAAAACCTTGGGCCAACCTACACACAAGGCACAAAACTTCAATATCAGACATGACTGTTTCTTATCATTTGGGCTAGTGATAGTTTGATTACAAACCTCAACAAGTGTCATCTTTTCCAGGTCTCCACGGTCGATTTTCTGTGTTCCAGTATGAGGACATGATATCTGCTCCAGAACGTCAAGGAATGATGTGAAAAAGGGTTAGAATACTTGGTATAGATATAAACCCTTTCTACTACAAATCAAAAAAGAAACAACAGAACTCTTTGAGGTGAATGATATTAGACATCTTTTTCGCCAATACAGCTAAAGAAATAGATTAAATCCGATAATTCAGCATTTGATTCGAGGGGAGACCATGGACTCCCACTTCCACAGCACACATGTGAAGTGGTAGTATGCATCAAATGGCAGAAAACTTACCCATCCATGGATTTCAAGACTAGTAATATTAGATGATCTCAACCCCGAATACTGACCGAGTATTTCCTTTGGACTACAAAATATGTCATTGAATTTTCCTCTGTTTTTTACTTTGAGGTTACTTATACTACATGATTTTGGTGAAAGAGAGGAACATGTGCACAGTTTTTGCACTAGGTCGAAACTCGGAAGAATGAGGCCTTGCACAACCTATGGGCAGCCCTAAGAAATTTCCCTCCAGGGGACCAAAATAAACTACTTGAAGCACACTTTGCTACGGGCAAGGATAAGCCACACAAATAACAAATTTCTTCAAAAAAGAGCAACATTCACAACACTCCACTAGAAACACATTTTACCGTGGTACGAATAGCAACAAACCTGGTAATTACGGAACCATATGTGGTCATCTAGAATTGAGAACACAAATACATGATCATAGAAAGGTTTAGATTTCCGGTGATCCTTTGGGGTTCCAAAAATCTGATGAAACAGAAGAGAAAAGCGCATAAGAATGTCATCACAGTAAATCAAGAAATCATGTCACTACAGAGCTAACAACTTTAAGAGGATTTACATAAAATATCTGGACAATGAAACGCAACTCAAACAAATAACCAATTGTATTTGAACCTTCAACCTCTAATGAAATCACGTTCAAAAGTTTGAATTTTCAAGAAAATGCTTTAACCACCAATTACTTTGAATAGCAGAAAAACCCATTGAAGAGTCACTGCAGGCAACAAACTTCAACGAAGTAAAAGAAGGACCAGAAAACAGAAGAAGTGCTTGTATAGGACCACAAAGCCAAAATGTATCAACAAAAATAGCATCTTCAACAGACCAAACAACTATCATCAAGTAAACAGGTTTTTGCTTCAAACTCCTTCCAGTATAGAATTGCTTAAAAGTTTAGCTAAAACATAACAGGCAAAAAGGCGAAAATGTTGTATGAAACAATGGACTGCACTATTTTAGCTAAGAAGTACTACAAAGATCAATGTCTGAAAGAAGTCAGATTACCTGCATGAACATTTCTTTCAAAAGCTTCCAGTGAGGTTCTTTATTGAAATTGCTAGAGAAAGTCAGAATAGGACGTGAACCCTTCAAGTGATTTCCAGTAAGCTTTAATTCTTCCATTGTGTGCACTTCAAAAGCAAAATGAAAAAAGTAGAATAATTTGGACCTTTCCTCATTCAAGAGAAAACCAGGAGTGAGAGGAAACGTTTTTTTCTCTGATAAGGAGGAGTGAGAGGACAAGTTTTATGTTCAGTTGACGTACAATTGCAATCGCATTCCAATTACAAATGAACATGATTGATGAAACCATCTATTTCAATACCTGCATTGACTAAGAACTTCACAGATGGACCATTGGGGCATTTCGCCATCCATAGATAGAGATCTTTTCCCTTCCGGCACTGAAAGTAATAAAATAAAAGCATATAAATATATAAGAAGCAAACATAGCATAATGATTGAAACACAGAAATGATGAAACCGTATCTTTCAAATACACAAAAACCGAATATGTTATTCAACAGAATTTCGGCTCACTGTAAGCAAGCCAAAAAAGTTAAAGGGGAACTTCAGAAACCTCATATAAAGTATATCCTCTAGAACAAATAGTCCTCAAGTCTCTGTTTGCTTATTTCTGCAACAACTCAAACAGCCTCCACTATCAGTCATGAGCTAATTTCCAGAGGCTGTACTCCTCCTACCTGGGAAAATGTACTTGCTTGATTTTATTCTTCCCCAGGTTATATATTCCAAAAGATAAGGCCACTAAGAAGCTGGGGATTTGACCATCAATCTGAGCCATGGCATGGCTGATTTGGTGCAATTTGGGGATGATCTCACGAGGGTAGAGAAGGCAAACAGGAAAGGGAACATTCGGTTTCCAGTGGAAGATTATAATCTTTTACAATTAATGTCCAACTGGTAATGAGCTTAAAATGCTCCTCGGACACATGGGTGTCCATCTTTGAATGCCCATGCATTTTATTGTTACAACTTTAATTTTGTCTAGGGACGTCTAGAACGATAGACATCTACAGGATAAATATGACTAATCCAACAGATGTAGATAGTTGGTAAGCTTGACCTGGAATAGCCCACAGTCTATCTTACCCAGTATATCTTCCTCTAAACAAGAGATATCAGGATTTGACTAAAGGATGGACAGACAAGTAAAAACATGTGTGTTCATTTTCTTCGTGTCCCCAAGTGATTTGTCATCGAAAGATGTTGCGACATCGTGATGCAAAGTCTGAGCGGTTCTGCTTTATCTCTCATGGTTTTCGATATCGCAGGTAGTACACTTATATTG